GCTAGACTGGAACACAACTGAGGAGCATGCATTTTTACAAATCACAAGCCAAATTTGAAAAAGTGCCAAGTAATGACTAACTATGAAGCACCGACATTCCAAAATAGGTGCCGTAGTAGTGTCAACACCGGGACATGTATGGCACATGCCATGTGGCATATCCCTTTATTTAATTAATTTGTTTTCCAGGGACATTTCGGGGATATGCCAATAACTTTTTTCCCCTCTTCTTTATAGATGTTGGATGTTGAATGTTGATTACCTCTTTGCTTAGAATCTTATATTTAAATAATTAATAGACCATCCATGAAGAAGACATAAATGATAAAAGTTAACTCGAGTCGGTTTTTTTATTTATTTATTTATTTTTTATTATTATATTGAATTAGTATTAGTTTTTGCTAATTTTGATTGTTTGTGGATGTAATATTTAATCTACATAGAGACTAAAAATATATTATTATATTGCCGTATTCCCACCATGTCTGTATCCTCATTTTTCTGAAATCACCATGTCCCATGTCTGTGTTTGTGTCCGCATCCGTGTCCATGCTTCTTAGATGACTGATGAATACCATTTAAGAAATAACTAATTCTGTGAGAAGTCAAAATCCTTCTAAGTCATCTGATGATGAAATAAGAATGATGCACAATTCAGCAAGGCTGGCGTGTTGGTCTCCAAAAACTGAACACATACACCAAATGTTGGTAACCGACAAGGTAGGAAGTGTTTGACATTATGCCTAAGAGAATTGGTAAGAGTCCTTGTCACACATGGTGCATCTCTATGAGCCTCAAACTTAAGGATCAACAACTTCTTTAGTGATAAATGTGGACATACCATTTTGTCAAACGGCTACAGACATCCTTCTTCCTTCTTGTTAGAGTTCTGATGAAAAAATCCCATTCCGCAGGAATACTAAGTTTATTGGTGACAGCCTCCATTGAACCACTAACACAAGGGTACTCCATTTTCTCTTCAGCATCAGCAAGTGTTGAAGCATTTAAAGAAGGAAACGGCAGGAGATGAAGATTGCGCAGTTGCTCGCCCAAAAAAGAAGCTAAATATAGAGTATCATCCCATGAGAGAGTTTCTCGTCTGCAAAGAGTACACAACGAAGTCAAGACCATTTGGACATACAACACTCCAAACATATTAGAAGGGCTGTTGTTCAAGCACCCAGTATCTAAATTGAAACAAGAAACTAGGCAACTTACAACTCAGCAAATGTTTTGCCTTTGCATCTTTTTGTTACAATATATGGCCATATCCTTGAGCCGTCGCCAGAACTGATTAATTCATTTATTGACATCCTCGCTTTTTTCATTTCAAATTTTTTTTTGCTCCATACACCAAATGGAAAATCAACTTCCAAACTATTTTCTGGGATCAAATTACAACTAGCAATAACATCAGGAACTCCTTTTCCATCCCAAGGTACAATCTTATATGACCCATTTTCAATAAACAGAATTCCACTTGCTAAAACACCAGGAATGTGATTTTTCAGAGGGGAGTCAACCTTGCACAGTAGACTGTAAAACTCCAGCTGTAAAGATGCAATCAAAGTTCATACAATGTAAGGATAAAAACGACTACTCTAAGGGACAAAAATCAAGAACAACAAGATGGTACCTCAGTGCCTAAAGCATTAAGAGAAAATTCCAGCCCGTCTTCAACATATAGTTTAATTACATGGTCAGAAATGAGATAAACCTGTTAACAAATAATACAGCAAGTGATCAGATAGCTAAAGATCATTTTTCCAGGAATGAAAACAGTTGTCAGTTTTAATGATAATGTTTTAATTTTGTATCAGTTTACTCAAGCAGTGGCTTCAATTTTTAATGGAGTACATGTAAACAACTCCTTTTATCCAAAAGAGAAAAAAAAATGTCCTTTTTATTTTTGACGTTTTAATCTTTCCTATAGGAAAACCAATTTTAATTGTCTCAAGTTCTTTCCAAAATGCTAACCAGCGAGAAGAAAAAAGAAAATTTAGAATACCAAAGTTTCAGATGCTTCTGGTTCAAATAGCTAATGGACTCCAAAAATGAAGTATAAATAAATATGTCCAGCAACATCCTAACTTAGAAGAAAGATAACAAGACTCAAATTGACCTAAATATCATAAGATAATGCTCAGTATAATATGAGCTATTGCAATCCCAAATTAATGAAACCCAGTATTGTTTTCATCACCTTATTGCAAGGTTAGTTTCACACACATTAAACATCATGTTGGAAATTTTTAATCAATTTCTGAATTACATATTTGAATGATTAAAAATTGATTTGGGATTGTTCATTCAAATATCATTCATACACATTAAACATCATTCACACACATGAAACAACAACAATGTTAGAAATGGGGGAAACACAGAAAGGGGGAGACAGAGAGAGAGATAGAGAGAGACAGAGACAGACAGATATGAGCTATTGCAATCCCAAATTAATGAAACCTAGTAATGTTTTCATCACCTTATTGCATGGTTAGTTTCACACACATTAAACATCATGTTGGAAATTTTTAATCAATTTCTGAATTACATATTTGAATGATTAAAAATTGATTTGGGATTGTTCATTCAAATATCATTCATACACATTAAACATCATTCACACACATGAAACAGCAACAATGTCAGAAATGGGGGAAACACAGAAAGGGAGAGACAGAGACAGAGATAGAGAGAGACAGAGACAGACAGATATGAGCTATTGCAATCCCAAATTAATGAAACCTAGTAATGTTTTCATCACCTTATTGCAAGGTTAGTTTCACACACATTAAACATCATGTTCGAAATTTTTAATCAATTTTTGAATTACATATTTGAATGATTAAAAATTGATTTGGGATTGTTCATTCAAATATCATTCACACACATTAAACAGCAACAATGTCTGAAATGGGGGAAACACAGAAAGGGGGAGACAGAGAGAGAGAAAGAGATGGAGAGACACAGAGATAGACAAATATATAGATACACTGTATCAGAGAGCTCAAGCGAGAGATGCACAGACGGACTGAGAAGCAAAGCGCGAAAGCGAGAGAGACAGAGACATAGAGAGAGAGAGAGAGAGAGAGAGAACCTGTGATTCAAGGGTTGCGATGGTGGTGATTAGCGCCGGTGGCGATGGCCGTCTGTGCATCGCCTGTACAGTAGAATACGGTGAGAGGGGTTGAGTTCTGTGAGATTTGGTGAGGTGTGTGTGATACACTGTTGTTCAGTGTGTGATATTGTTGCCTATACATCAACGCGTGCACATCAATTAATGAAGTGGCGCAAGTTAAAATTTCAACTTTTATCGACTATTTTGTAATTAGTCGGGAAATGAATGAATTATCAGGCTTTAGCAACGAAATGTTTGGTCGCTAAAAACCCATTTGGCGACTAAGCACTATTTTAGTCGGGAAAAAGTGAATATTACAGATTAAATTTATTTTTTTTTGTCTAAATTGTACACCAACAGCGACTAATATCCTATTTAGTTGCTGAAAAGTTTAATTTTTGCCGACTAATTTCAAATTTAGTCGCTAATTACAAATATTTACCAACTAAAATATTTTAGTAGGTAAATATGGAACCAATGCCGACCAAATTAAATTTTAGTCGCCAAAAATTATACTTTTGGCGACTAAAAATGTTTTAGTCGCCAAAATTAGTCGGCCAAGGTGCATTCTGTTATAGTGGGATAAGTTATTATGTTTCATTGTGTATTCTAATAGGATGATTATTTATTGACTTTCGTGGTTTGGAACTGGATATTTACCTTGTATTCTAAATCTTTGTCATTAACTAATTTCTTTCTTTTCTTAATTAAAGTTTTAGGAATACAATATGCTACTAATAAATCAAGATTTATGGTCTTCACAAACTTTATTAGTATCTCGTGTTGCTTCCATTAAGGATCATTATTTTGGGGGACGTTTTTAGTGATGGATGGTCATTCTTGTTAATAATCTTTAGAATTAATTTATTCTTCAGGTTTCATTCTTCCCTCCTTTAGTTATTCTTGTCATTCTTTGCTAATTCGAACTATCCTTTCTAACTAGGTGAGTTAACTTTAATTAAAACTTATATTATCATACTTTTATTTCCGTTCAAAGTAAAATGGTTGTTAAACTTTTCCCATTTGTTACTCTTGTTTGTTTTCTTTTCACACTGTTCCTTAGTTGCTAAAACTTGTATTTAAGATTATGAGTCTTCTGTTTTCTTTCATATAAGCTTAACTTTCGCCATTTTTTTTATAAAAAAAAAAAATTATTTAAGCACACTAGGGCATACTAAGATTACATTCCATTTTTTTTCTAAGTTCCCTCTCTCTGTTATCAATAAAGGATAAATAGGAAATATAAGATTATAAATCTTTGCTAGAGTTAACTCTGATCAATTTCTTCGATTAAATTTGGATATATTAGGATTGCCCTTCTTCTTTTCATTTTAGTCACTATACTATTGGTTCTATCTTGATGAAACTTGTGGTTATTGAAAGACTTAGGTACGTTATCTAATCATAATGTCATGTTTGTTAGAATTAAATCCTAAATTAGATATGTTATATAGAAGATTGCATTAACTTTGCTTATATATAGGCCCAAACAAGATGGAATTACTTTTCTTGAAATTTTGTCATTAGGTCCAAGTTAAGGGTATGTTGTTTTTTTAATTTATTATCTCATTGTTTATTCACAACTAATAGTTATTAAATGATAATAGAAATTTCGCTTAATCACTTATAAGGTTAAATTCTTGACTATTTAACTCACTATAGCTTATTCAAGTGAACTTCTTACATTTAGAGAAACTCTTTAAATATAATAACATTTACAATCTTTGAAGAAGTTCAATTTGTTGTTTCTTATCAAGTACTAAGTTATAATGATAATTTTAAAAGTATGTCTCTTTATTATAAGTATGCTATTTAGATTGGGATCTAAAATTTGAATCTAAATTTTTGTGCTTATGGGATTTCACTATCATTCCTTTTTTAACAATTGCTAATGTCATGTGGTTAAAGTCAAATAAGGGTGTTTATATTTTTTTTTTTCTTTCCTATGAGATCATTGCATCCTAAGTTATAGGCTGGAGTAAAATGAAACTCTTTTCTTTTTTTTAATGTTCCTAGAGAATTCGAGTAACAGTAGGATTCAAAGGAAAGTAGCTCATTCTCAAGTTAGTACTCATTAGGCTAGCTTAAGTGAAGTTATCCTATACCATCTAGTCTTTCAATTAGTCCAAGTGTTAATAATATACATTACATTAGATGGCTAAATAAAAGACATGCATGGTATAATTATTCCAAAGTCCTATACACATACGTCTAAAATTCCCCTAATGATCCTCATATTTCATAACTAGGTTAGGTACTAATTCTTACATTAACTAAGTAACTTGGCACATGAACAAAAGATCTCTTAAATCTTCAAACAATTTCTCAATGATTCTCAATACTATCTCTTCACATAGGACTACCTATCTATACAATTTTCTTTCCCCCGATACAAATTCCTTAGTTATATTCTTCTTTATCCTTACTGGACTTAGCATTTAACTTCCTCGCATAACCTCCATTACATCATTATGCACTTCTACCTTCTCTAATTGACAAGGGCTCGCCTTCCTTTTTCATTCTCATTCTTCATTATGATATATAAAACTCAAAGAAAGGGTCAACAATATTTAAGATAATATACATATACGTATAAGCTACCTAGATTAGAAAATTACAAACAAAACATAAAGCCTACATTTAAACACAGTTATATATATATATATATATATGTGTGTGTGTGTGTGTGTGCGCGCGCGCGTAAACACATTGGTACGGTAACCTATTCATTCCCAAAGAATTTACCTAGAATTTCTGACCCGAAGCTACGCCGGCGCCAAACATGATTCCAATCAAATTTTCAAAGTCATTCAACAAGGATATGAGACTCAAAGGTTCAACACTTCAATCTATAGGCTATCCATTGAATAATAAGCATTCTATATGCTAGACACTCGTGATATCTCGTAGCCTCCATAACTTCACACACTTAACCAACAATATTCACAATAATTCGACATCTTCTAATATTCCCACAATCTGGTATACTTACAACCAACAAACTCCAATCAAATCTTATAATTCCTTATAAGATCAATATCCTATGGTGCTTTGAAGCTCTTATATCTTCACAAAATAGCTACGCATAAACACCTAAATATACTTAGATACAAACACATATATAACATAAATGCATTCTTGGAGTTTCAATCTAAAAAGATCCTATTTTTCTGAAGAACAACATCCATGAGAATAAAGTTGTGCTTTGATATCACTCTATCACGACCCCAACCGGCCCAAAAAGGATGGTGTAATGATCGACCAGTAGTCCTTGACTACCAAAGGCCTACTAAACGAAAGCAAGTTGGACTCTTAACATTATTGGGGCAAAAGTTCTTTTATAGAGTGCAGAAGCCATTATTTTCTTATATTGAGCCCATTTAAAACATCCATTCAGAGCAGTGTATATCTATATGAAATGAAAGTATACATCATTCTTAGATTATTATCTTACAACAGTACATAACTTCAATAATAAATTCAAATAGAACACTCAAATTACAACTTAAGAAAATCAATACAAGCACACAAGACCGGCTTCTAGCGAACTTCTCTTTATACTTGAACTCTTCATCAACTATATATATACATAAGGGAGAGGGGTGAGCCATTGCCCAGTGAATAGTAATGTCGTAAAGTGGTAAATGAATGAATACCAATAAACTTTATTAAAACC